TTTATTTAAATAAGAATAAGCTACTCTTATTAATAAAGTGAAATATAAGATATATTTTGATATAGTTTTATTTTTACATTTCAGATCACAACTTATTTATCAAAACCGTAAAATATTTAAAGAATAGTGATAAATAGAAACTTTTGTGATTTATCTTATGTCAAAATAGCTGCCGAGTGCTGATTCCTCATTCCAATTTCCAACGTGTTGTGACATTGACATTTGACAATTGACAACAGTGACACGATGACAAACCAATGATTGAATGAAACTTTTTCGGAAGTCATAGATTTATTTGATTAAAATTGACAAAGATTTAAATTCTATTCTCGGTTTACATATAATCTTATATAGGTACCAGTCATTCTATTATTATGTCTTCTCCATTGTAATAATAAAATAATGTCCTCCTGACCGATTACGGCCACGGCGGCCTATCTCATTGAGATTACAGATTAGCCAACTGGGCAAGAGATATTGCAGCGCGTGTGCGCGCATACACAAGTGCACTCTTTATTCCTGTCACTCTCCTCTAGTCTAGTGGGACGACTGCTGCCTGCTCGACACGACCGGTGAGAGCTAAAGACGCAGGACCGATAGCTTTACGTGCTCTCCGAGACACGGGAGTGAAACACCGCTTACTTCCCAAATCGGGGCTTTTACTGAGGCATTATTATACAGAAAGACTCAATAACTAAACTTGGCCCGACCCGGGACTCGAACCCAGAACCTTCGGGTGTGCAGCCGTACATGCTAACCACTGCACCACCGAGGCAGTTAATTAAAAATTGTAACGACATTGAAAAAATAAAATGTGCCCAAGCAAAAAATGCCAGCTGACAATATTTTAAGATATGAATATCCAATTACGTATAGCTTTGCATCGGCTGGCACCAACTTCAAAATATCTGATAAGGTATCTATTCTAAATGAAAACCCCCGTTTAGTTATTTTTTCCATTTTAGTGCCTGGAAGTCGGTTTTTATTATTTGTTTAAAAGTTTTTATTATGACTGCGAAAATACCTCAATATTTTATTAAAATCCCCAATCTGGAAATAATTGTTTTTTTTTAATAAGCATTGTTAAATTAGTTAAAAAAACATTGTGCAGATTTTTAATTATTTATTGAATCTTATTACAATTATTTTATTTTTTCATCAATAAATCATTAATAGTCAACAAAAAATTAATACAAACAAATAGTATAAAAAAATTAATATTCAACAACTGATCTATTATACAGGATTTCCCGTTAATAGTAGTTCGGTGAAGGAATTGTGTACTCTTATACACGAAGGTACCTATTTTGTGGCCTCCACGGTCTCCCGACCTAAATCCTTTGAATTTTTTTATCGGGGATGCCTGAAAGAGTTTGGGTACAATAAGCGGATTTTTAATATTGAAGAGTCAAACCGCTCCTCATGAAACTAAGTAATAATGCTAGATACGCACAACGAATCAAATTTAACATTGTTTTATTAGAAGGTGTCGGGCATGTAATAAATGAATAATATAATATTAGTTTTGGTTCTATTTGGCCACAATCTCCAAGTTTTACAATATTTTGAGATATACCTACTACAAAAATCAGACCAAAGACTTTTATCGAAAAATTATGATATTCGGCAATGAAATAGCAATAACTTATTTGTTTTATTGAATTTTGTTCTTCCCTTACTTTTTTAAATCTTTATTCATCGCACTATTTTTCAAGCCAATGGGCATCAAGGATGTAGTACTTTTTTTAACACCACAGTACTTTAAACTTGGATGAAAAATGTTGTCTCATTGAAATTCGCAACTTTAATATTTTTTTCTAAAGAAACTGTTTATGTTGTTGGGAAACTGCACTAGACTTCTAGTTACACATCTAGGCAGACATAATATTCAATAAAAAATTGCGAATTTCAATAAAATGGCATAAATTCTGCGTATTACGCTAGTAAATTTTCAATAAAATCATGAAAATCAGAAAATCTTAAAAACAGTGAAAGTTTTAGTAAAATGTTTTTGGCTTTTCTCATAAGGACTACTGTTAACGGGACAACCAAAATATGATGTACAATGTAGATATTCGTAACAATATAATTCTTTTACAACAATGGTATTTTGACGGCACAAAGACTATAGAAAAAAATCTATAGGTACTTCTTCTTCTGACTTCTATCTTTTTTAATAAAAAATAATGTAATTACAATTTAAGGAATAATTATTATATAGTTTAGCAGCAACAGAATATATTATATTAATATTAAACTAAAATAACATTAAGTTATAATCATAATTTTAAAAGAGATAAGATATATTCGGAAATTAGAGAGATTTAAGACATACCTACTTACACTAATAAGTAAGATACTTACATACCGGACTCTAATGCCCGATTTCACCAAAAACCCATAAGCTACCACCTACGTATGGGATCCCTAGCTTAAAATTGCCCTAAACTAGCCCCTAAATTAAATTTCATTTTACCATCGTCTTTAAGCCCATATTTCGAGCACCTAAATTTAGGGAGCCTTTTAACATTTAGGTGACCCCTAACTGTCGGTGAAACAGAAACTGTCCCCTGACAGCCCCCTAACCATGTTTAGGCGATTCCTTAAACTTAGGTGACGTTGGTGAAATTGGGCATAAGTCTACCAACGTGACAAAAAGATGGATTATAATTACAAATATTGTGCTAAAATAAAGTTATAACATGTAAAAAATGTTAACTTAGAATATAAATTAGTTTGCGAAACCTTTATATTTTTAGAGGCATCGCAGATTAGAGATAAACACTCTTTTCGATCCTCGATGGTCAGTACCTTACAACACAGATATGTATTCAATGACCCAACCCGTGCCCCCATTATTCATAGTAGTAGTAAATGCTATTTTCACATAATTATCATCACTTATGTAGTTTGCGGGATATTCAGAGCAGAATGTGGAAATCGTGTTTTGACTTCTATCAATAATACTTAGATAGTTTTGATCACAAATGACGCCTAAATCAAATACTATGAAACGTAACATGACGCGTGTGCCTACCGGTGTTTCAATTTCCCATTCGCAGGTTGATGTTCTTCTATATTCATTAGGATAAAACGGACTCGTGAATTGTCCTGAGTCACTAAAGAACTGACCACCACATCCTCTGCTTTTGTTCGTGGCGACGTAATTTAAGTCATAAGTTATTGCCTGTCTTCCTGGAAATATATGATTATGTAAGAGCATATATCTTTGTGTAGACATAATAGGATAATAATCAGTATTATAATTATTATTAATTTTAATAAGTGAGTGTGCGCTTGTAGTGTTACCGTCGAAAATTTCTAAATATGGATCCTCTGCCCAATACGCACGAGTTATTGATATAAAATAAATGGATATTGTGTAGTTTTCAGGTACTGTGATTAAAGTATAACAGTCTTTAGAACTATCGTCATTTCCAAATATAGTTTGTGCTTGTATTCTCGCTTGCAATTCTGTGTAGTTTCTGCCACATATTCCTACATAAGATATTTCAATTTCGAATCCTCTATGTACAGGAGTGGTTTCGCCAGTAGTTTGTATATTTATATTAGAACTGCCAGTTACGTAGTAATCGATAGATTTTTTAACGCCACATAATTCAAAACGTTTTGGATAACTTATTGCTGTATCATAATAGTTTGAAGCACGTGCAAGGAAATCAGATAAGCCATCATTTAAAATATATTTTTTTCCTAAACTTTCATTTAGTGGAACGGTATGGCTATATATGAGTAGTTTATCTTTACTACAGATATTGTCGCTTCCAGGTTCGAGATCGAGATTTTTAATTCTTATATGTATAGTTGAGTATGGTTCAGAACTTGCATCTAAATGATAACTACAATATAAATTTCGAGGAAGTAAGCCTGTGTCGTAACCTGGCGATTTCAAAGTCTGTACTTGGGTTGATATTTTGTAAGTAGATTGACCGCAAACTGAGGGTATCGATGATAATACCGCTTCAAAACCAGAACTTGCTAGCTCTCCGTCAGTGAAAAGTTTAATAGTCATTATATTATTAGAAGACATTATCTGTGGAGGTAAATTATGCCCACAGTAAGTATCTATAACTAAACTATTTGGATTATCTCCATCTATTAATTCTACATAATCACATTCACATTTTCTAACACCAATAGCTGTTTGATTAACGCCAGGGCAAGAAGCGATGTGAAAAGCTGTAAATTCCACTTTAATAACATGATCTACTGGTGATTTTATAACCCAACGGCAGTCTAAGTAATTTTCATAAACAAAACTGTTTCCAATCAGAGGAGATTTCACATTTACTCTTGATTCGGTCAGGTTTATGGTCCCGCCGCAGCCAACTAATTCTGAGTAAGTAAAAAGTATTGCTACTTGGAAATAGTCATCTTTCGCATTAGAGTTCGATGTAAATTGTAAGACCATTTTGTTACTTTTTCCTTTAATATATGTTGTACTGTTTACTCGACCGCACATCAAGGCCAATCGTTTTTCATCGTCTATAAATGGACCATCGTAAACTGCAAGACTTTCAGCGAAACACTCAAAAGAGCTTTCAAGGTCTATATAAATAAATTTCATAGTAACTACTTTATTTTGTGGAGCTTCAATTAACCACGTGCAGTTTGTATCGTCCACATATAGTTGTGAAATCTCTGGAGCTAAAATAGTAGGTTCTTTAATTGTTCCTCCGCAATTAAATAAAGCGTACGATAGCTTAAAACCTCTCTTATTAATGTAACGGTCAGTTTTGAAAGCAATTATAGCATCATTCAAAGATTTGACTGTTGGAGGCATTTCTTTTCCACAATATATCCTCAGATCAGCAGAGTAATAACTTTTATAATTTATTGTTACATTATCATATTCACATTCTGGGTAAGACCCTTCCAGGTCAAAATCTATAAATTTGATTATTATTTTGCTGTCCGGTTTTGACTTAATTTCATAAGTGCAATCCAGAGAGTGATCATATTCGGAGAAGTAACCTGGG